CAGCCATCCAGCGTGTTATACAGTCTACTTTGAAACAGAGTTCAAGCACTTAATGTGAAAGACAAAGTCCACCTTCTTTGCAATACTGAATTGCTTCTGTTAACTTTGTACGAGGAGCTTGATATGCCTTTGTGCCAGCGTATGCCTGCTGAATGCTTCTGCACAGAAATGGGTACTTTCGCTACCACACCCCAGTCCACTGTAGTGACTGCAGAAGGGATGTGGCCTCTTTTTTATCACACTTTCTTCTCTACTCATTCCACAGCTAATTTGGAGGTAACACGTCTGCTACCTCTCTAAAAACTTTGTGTTACAGACTTTAGGTAAAAATAGCGGGACCCACTGACTTGAACATCAGTGTTATCTAGTTTTAAAAACTACTGAAGAAGAAGCCACGCATGAAGTCTTTTACAGTTTTTAGCTGCTGTGTCTTTCTTCCCAGTGCTGTGATCTCATTTTTTTTTTCTCAAGGCAGATGCAAGAGTTGTGGGATGGAACATTAGGAGACATATGGATAGCAAATGCCATGGGTGGGGGGAAGAGGGAATAATAAAAATTTTTTTTTAAAAGCCATTAATATTGACTTAAGGACTCTGAACTGAAAAATGAAGAACTTCACGTCTTTCTGTTCATACTGCAGTTTTCAGATGCATTGAAGTGATCTTTACTCGAAGTAAAACTGTAACAAAAGAAATTGTGAAAGGGAGTTAATAAAAAAAGATACTGGTTTATCATAAAACAAATTTTATTGCAGAAGTAGAGAAACTCTGATTTTACTGAGTCTCCAAAGTTACATCTTACAGAGACCAAGATGACTTAGATTTAGCCTTGTATTTTCTATATCCAGGTTTTGCAGTGGGTAAAACCTCGTGTCAAAGACATCTGGCATTCTCATATCTAAGTGCCTCTATAGAATTCATCTCCCCATCCCTCGATGAGTTACCTTTTTCCCCTTCCCTCCTCCTTCCCGCCTCATTCCCTCGCTCCCTCCCTCCCTCCTTTCCTCTCCTTCCCCTCCTGTCTTTCTTTTCTTTGCCACCTTCCTTCCTCTCCTTTCTTCCTGCCTCTAGTTTCATACTATGTAAAGCTAAGTCAAACAAGCGAATTCACTTTGAATAGTGTTTGATACTTGTTAGTCTTATCCTTTAATGTAATTGGTTGTGAAGCATTTTGCCTGTGTTGCTAAATCCCTTTTCTCTGAAAACAAAAAACAGATAAACAAAATGTGCTATAATTTTTTTGACAACATCTTTAATCTCAAGTTTGGCGTACTCATATTGCCTAGCAAATGAATCTATCACATCAGCTGTCATGGAGTGAAAGAGAGATTTCTCTAAGAAACGTTTTTGCTGCCAAAATAGGGCAACATAGAGGAAACTGTTTAGTTTTTGTCTTTTCCTCTGAATACTGTGTTACCGCTTCTTTAAAAGTGCAATATTTTGGTAACAAGTTTCTTTTTGAACTCAAACTGATCAGAGGTTTTCAGAGAGAAGAAAGGACAGAAATCCGGCTGACCAAACAGCTATCATCAAGACATCCTTCTATCGCAGGATGAGATCAACTGTGCCTAAATTTTTCTACTAAAATACTTGTCCAGTCTGTTTTCAGTAATTTCTGAAAGGGAAATTCCACACCCAGCCTCCATAGCTTCTTCCTTTATTAATAAAATAGTATCAGGGTTATTCTTTGTCCTGAACAAAGCACGGGAGAACTCTGAGAGAGAGAAAGGCTTACTGTGTAGTGCCTGGTGGGATGTATTCAGGGACAAGGAAAAGGGGAGGTGACATATGGACTTGTAGCCATAGCATAAGGTAGTAACTGAGGTAAATAATGTTTTCTTTTGTCAGTTTCATTACCAGCTTCTTCCACTCTCCGCTGTTCACCAAGAGCAATGTGGTCTGATTTTGTATGTAGGCAGTGCCTGCCTTCAGGTGGCTGAGCTGCCTGTTTAAAACTAGAAGTGATTGGAACTGTTCGTAATTAGCCTTAGGGATCACAGAATCACAGAATGGTAGGGGTTGAAAGGGACCTCTGTGGATCATCTTGTCCAACCCCCCTGCTGAAGCAGGGTCACGTGGAGCAGGTTGCACAGGACTTCATCCAGGTGAGTTTTAAATATCTCCAGAGAAGGAGAATCCATAACCACCATGGGCAACCTGTTCCAGTGCTCCGTCACCCTCAGAGGCAAGAAGTTCTTCCTCATGTTCAGGTGAAACTTCCTGTGCTTCAGTTTGTGCCCATTGCCCCTTGTCCTGTCACTGGGCACCACTGAAAATGATAGAATCATAGAATGACAGGTTGGAAAAGACCTCTAAGATCATCAAGTCCAACCATCAACCATCAACCCAACACCACTATTCCTACTAAACCATATCCTGAAGTGCCACATCTACATGTTTTGTAAACCCCTCCAGGCATGGTGACCCTACCCCCTCCCTGGGCAGCCTGTTCCAATGCCTGACTACTCTTTCAGTGAAGAAATTTTTCCTAATATCCAATCTAATCTCCCCCGACGCAACTTGAGGCCATTGCCTCTCGTCCTACCACTAGTTACGTGGGAGAAGAGACCAACACCTGCCTCACTACAACCTCCTTTCAGGCAGTTGCAGAGAGCAATAAGGTCTCCCCTCTGCCCCCTCTTCTCCAGACTAAACAGCCCCAGCTCCCTTAGCCACTCCTCATAAGACTTGCTCTCTAGACCCCTCACCAACTGCACTGCCCTTCTCTGGACACGCTCAGCAACTCAATGTACTTGTAGTGAGGGGCGCAAAACTGAACACAGTATTCAAGGCGCGGCCTCACCAGTGCTGAGTATAGGGGCACGATAACCTCCCTACTCCTGCTGGCCACACAATTCCCGATACAAGCCAGGATGCTGTTGGCCTTCTTGGCCACCTGGGCACACTGCTGGCTCATGTTCAGCCTGCTGCCGACCAACACCTCCAGGTCTTTTTCTGACAGGCAGCTTTCCAGCCACTCTTCCCCAAGCCTCTAGCCTTGCATGGGGTTGTTGTGACCCAAATGCAGGACCTGGCACTTGGCCTTCTTGAACTTCCTACAGCTGGCCTTGGCCCATCGATCCAGCCTCTCCAGATCCTTCTGCAGAGCCTTCCTACCCTCAAGCAGATCGACACTCCTGACCAACTTGGTGCCATCTGCAAACTTAC